AGGCCAGCTGCCTGGCCCACAGCCCCCTGCAGGGAGCCGCGGAGGAGAAGCCGGAAGAGGAGGAGGACGCCGCCCCTGCTAAGAAGCCAGAGCCGCCGCCAGGCGTACTCCCTGCAACTGCGGCTCAGAGAGACCCGGCCGCTGCCCCGCTGCCGGTTGTACGGCTGAAGGTGGGAGTGTTCTACGATGCCCAGGTGTCCTTCCTCCGAGATCCGTCCGAGTTCTGGCTACGGCTCAAGGAGCACCAGCTGCCTTTCAACCAGATGATGCGGAACATGAGCGATTTCTACTCCCGAGCCCAGAAGCTGGACGGCATCGTCCTGGAGCCCCAGCCGGGATCCCTATGCTGCGCTAAGTGGAAGGAGAATGCTTACTATCGAGTCCTTATCACCAAAGTGCTGGGGAATGGGGTGAAAGTGCACCTGGTGGACAGAGGCAACACTGAGCTTGTGGACTGGTATGAGGTGAAGGAGCTGCTGCCTCAATTCAGGGAGCTGCCTGCTGTTGCTCTGAAGTGCTGTTTAGCAGATGTCTCTCCCCTGGGAGAAACTTGGAGTAAAGAGTCTGTGGCTCACTTTAGAAGGACTGTGAAGAGCAAAGAGCTGGTGATCCAGATGTTGGGCACACATGCTGGCAAGCATGTGATTGAAGTTCTTGACCACTCTCAAACAGGGGAGAAAAATATAAGCAAAATCCTGTCCCAAGCAGGCTATGCAAAATTCCATGGTGCTGAGATTCCAGAGACTCTTCAGAAGTTATCTGCTGAGCCTCTGGGGCAGGCTACCAATGAACCTGTTGGGGAGGAGGAGCTAGTGAGTTCAACAGCCAGGAAGAGGGGCATGCAACCCAAAACAATAAGAGACAATATAATGCTGATTCCCTCTGTGCCTTTAAGACCCAAAGCCCAGCCTACTGCAGAAACTTGCCATTTACTGAGTGACTCCACTCCTGCCGAGAGAAAAAATAACGGAAAGCTAAATCTGCCCTTCTCTCTTGCACAGAACTACTTGGAAATAAAACCAGGATTTCCTTATGAAGGTCAGCTGGAAGTTGGTTGTACAGTTCAGGTGGTAATATCTTATGTTGAAAGTCCTGGTTACTTCTGGTGTCAGTTGAGTGGAAACAATCAGGAACTTAAGACATTAATGGCTGAAATTCAGGATTATTGCAAGATTTCAGTTCAGCCATATTGTGGGCCAAGTCCATTGTGTTTAGCTAAGTATTCAGAGGATGAGAAATGGTACAGAGCTTTGATTATTAGTGGAGAGCATTCTGTAGAACAGGTAGAAGTAATATATGTTGACTATGGGAACAAGGAACTGGTTTCTGTAAAGAATCTCTGCTCAATTAGTTCAAATTTTCTGAAACTAAAGGCTCAGGCTTTCAGATGCAGCCTTTACAACTTAATCCAACCAAATGGTCAGGATCCTTTTGTTTGGGATGAAAAAGCAATCCTAGCTTTTCAGGAGTTTGTTGATGATGCAGCAAATCAATTGGAATTGAAATGTACAATATTTGCTCTAGCTGCCTTAAACAATAAGGAACTGTTTAATGTTGTGGACTTAATTACTCCTTTTCAGAGTGTGTGCCATTTCTTAACTGAGAAAGGGTTGGCGAGATCAGTACCACCTCAGAAACCTCTGGCATCTTCTGTTCAGCTACACTCTTACTACTATTCTACACATGACATCAAAATTGGAAGTGAAGAAGAGATTTATATAACACATATTGAGAACCCATGGAAATTTTACTGCCAACTTGCCAGAAGTGCAAATGTCCTAGAACAACTTACAGATAACATTAATCAATTAAGCAAAGTAGTGAACAGTTTAAAAACATCACAAAACTCTGGAAACCTATTTCTTACAAGGTATACTGACAATAATTGGTACAGGGGAGTAGTTTCGAAATCCAAGCCTAATAAGGAAGTCTTCTTTGTAGACTTTGGGAATATGCAAGTGGTAAAGAAAGAAGATTTGATTCCGATACCCAGTGATGCCTATGATATCTTGCTTTTGCCTATGCAAGCCATAAAATGTTCACTATCTGATATTTCTAATGTATCGAAAGAAGCGACTACATGGTTTGAAAAAGCTGTTTTGGTTAAGCCTTTAAAGATGATAGTGGTAGCAAAAGAATCTGATGGAAAACTGATAGTTGAACTGTATGATGGTAATATTCAAATTAATGCAAAAATGAAAGAAGGTTTAGGCTTACCAAGAGAGAGAGAGTCTAACAAATATGTAGAAAATGAAACTCTTCATTCTAAAAACATAAATGCTAAAGAAGTGAGGAATGAAAACAAGAGGCCATCAGCAGCACATATGGGAGAGTCTGAAATTAAAACTTGGCGATCTGAAATCCAAGGAGAAGAGTGCAATACCAAAACCAATTCTGTATGTAAGGATGTAAAATGTTTCCAACCTGCTGCAAAAAGAGAATTGCCAACCAAGTTTCTAGGCTCTGTGGAAAGATTTAACACTAACAAAGCTTTTCCCTCAGTAAGTACTCTCTTCGCTAAAAAAGTAGGTGAAAATAAATTGTTACCTTTAATAAACAAAGACACAAAGTCTGGTATTGTTAAACCTGCAACTATTAAAACTAGAAATGAAGGAGAAAACAGTACACTCTCTTCACTTAAAAGCATATGTGATCTGCCTCCAAAGAACATAGTGCCTGGTCTGAAAACTTTAGTATATGTTTCTCATGTAAATAACCCTTCAGATTTTTATATTCAGTTAGTAACTGATGAACCTCAACTTAACAGTATTTCAGAAGTATTAAACAAAACAGGAACAGAGGGTCTCAATCAACAGCAAT